AGCCTAATAGGTCCAGCATAGGGTGTGTGGTTGCATCACCAGTTGGAGGCGCAGGGTGAGGTGAAGAAGTACTGCCCACCATGGGAGGATTACTTGAAAACACCGTGTCGGGGACCCGGGATGAGAGCGGGTACACCTCCATTTCAGAGTGGCCCAGCCACCAGTAATGTCCTTGCTCACTCAGCCCACGCTAACTCCCGGCTTGCTATCACAGTTGCCCAAAGACCTTGTCTACGTGGACCGGACTGCTACAAAAGCTTATCACAGGAGTGGCCCTCCCACTTCCCAGGCTTTACCGTCCCTCCCTATCCAATCTTCCCGATATCACCAGCTACTGGCAACACTCGCACATTTCGCGTCAGGGCATTGGCTTCGTCCGCCAGGGCGGTACTTCTGGGAGAGCCCACAATCTTTCCCAAGGTCAGAGTCCCTGTGGCAGATACTCTTCTCTGCGCAGGCTGCACTGCTCTGCGAGCAAATCACACAAGCAGACAGCTCTTTGCAGGAAGATCTGATGGACCAATGTGCGCAGCACACCAGCACAGGCACACCAGCTAATCACAGCGTGGCCAATGCCATTTCCAGACAAAGCCCACGCCATTTCTGAGGGGCTCAGGATGGGCATGAGCTGGCAAAGCTTGGGTTTGTATAGTCCTTTTCCTGGGTGTGCTTGCCTTAAGGCCGGTTGTGACCAGCAGTGTCATATGTGGAGCTGGCTCAGGGTTACAGCATGTGCAGTTAGCAGGTTTTGAGCGTTCCCAGTCATCTAGCACTACTGCAAGGCGATGGGGCTTTTTAGGCCCTGTTCCTTCTGCCAAGGCGCTGAAAACATTGTACTAAGCTAGCACACCTAGAGCCAGGCTGGAGGGTGGGACAAGGGACAGTTTCGAGGCTTCCCACCACAGCGCCTGTGGGCAGTGTGAGTTCTCGCCCCTCCCCTCCACTTGCTAGCAGCTTGCCCTCCAACCCAGTGGCTTCCCGAATCACGCGGGGGACGCAGTGGGCGGTGTCAGCAAGCTGAGCGCCCTGTTCCGACCCACTCTGCGCATGCCCAGTCTCGGTGATACCCCGCTGCTCCACAAGGGGCTCTCTCCTGGGCCCGCCCCGCCATCTTTTCGGACCCTTAAGCCCACGCCTTGTGGCCCGCTGAAGAAGACAGCCAATAGCAGTGGTCGGGTCAGCGCATGTGGACTGCAGCCTGCTGACTGGGGTGCGGGATCCCTGTAACAACTTGCAACCTCAGGCTCCGCCTTTTGCCCCCAAGCTGTTCTCGGGAGACACTGCATTTGCACTTGTTTTTGCTGAGCAGGAGGTCTGGTGGGCTCTGCGCCATGGCGGCCATGGAGGAGGAGCGCGACTACTATGATCCCAGCTACTTTGGCCTGGAGTTCTGGGAACTGGAAGCCAGCGCGGGTCCTGCACCAGGGGTCCGCGCTGCTGCAGCTGAAGGCGGCCACTTCAGCGAACGGGCTCTCGGCCTCAGGGGCGCCGGCCTCCACGAGGGCCACCTGGACCACGGTGAGGACCGCAACCCGACCCAAGAGGGCTCCGTGAGCCGGGGAGGTGCCGCTGACCCGCCTGCTGACCTCGGTGACGATGATCCAGGGCTGAGACCGCCTGCGGAACAGGAGCTTTCTGATGCCAGAGGAGGGCGGCGGGGCCGGCCCAGGCGGCCACGAGTCCAGTTCAGCTTCACGCAGTGGCAGGTGGAGGAGCTGGAAAGTGTCTTCCAAGAAACTCACTACCCGGATGTCCTCACAAGGTCAGTTGCTGGCTCGGGGTGCTCCCAGGCTTTAGGGGTGACGGGCTCATTTCCAGGTGCCTCCGCTCTCTCCTGCTGCCCTCCTTCCGCTCCTGACCTGAGACCTCCTGGGCTCTTCCCCCGCCGGCCTCTTTGCCGGGGGCAGGATGGCTCCTAGGATGGACTAAGGGGGGACTTGCTTGAGGTATTACGGGGATGCCTGTCTGGAAACTTGTGGATGGCCAGTACTTTGTCTTGTTTGCCTCGTGTGACATCCATCCGACGCAGAGGTCAAAATTCTGCTCCCTGAACCCCTCTGCAGGACAGACATGAGCAGTGTTAGGTATTTTCCTGTTGCTGTGCAGCAGATCTCCAGGACGTTCTTCCTCTTGCAAAATCAAACTATCCACTGGAAGCATCTCCCAGGTCCTCATGCCCCCAACTCCGGGCAATCATGTTTCCAGTTTTTAGGTGTATGGGTTTGCCTTGTCTTGGAATCGAAGTGAAGGCACAGGCTGAGGGAGGTT